GGGCCCTCTCTACGGATACAAGGCCGGCGCCCTCTCGGGAGCAGCATCCTCCCAAGGAGCCTCCTCCCCTCCTCCTACTTGCCCCCTTTCAGAAGGGGAAAAAACACACAGACACAATGAATCGTCCACCCCCAGGAAAATATGGGAAAATATGGGAAGTGGGGGGGGAAGACAAAAGCCCAGAACATATGAGCAAATATGGGGAATCCTCTTATTTGTGTGTATTTATTTGTGTGTCCTGGGGTCCCTTCACCCTTGCGCGCGCCGCCAAGCGTCGGCGCGCGCACTTCTCTCCCGCCCTCTGCGGCGGGTGCCCGCCGGGGCCGGCGAGGGCCCGGCGGGCCCAGGCGGGCCCGGCGGGAACTCCGCGAGGGGACTCGGGCGCGCAGCCGCGCTGCCGTGCGGCAGGTCCGCGCGCCGCGTCGCCGCGGCCCGTCACGCACGCGCCTTGCGAGAGACGGAGGCATCTGCCCCTCCGTGCGACGGGATTCTTTTCGAGGGGCCCCAGAGAAGGGGCATCTTTTTGTTCCAAGACGTCAGCCACCACGAGGCTTACGCACCATCCCAGATGTCGACGTAGAAAGTCGCGGGCGTGCGAGGCGGAGCCCGGGCGTCGCGTGGCGGTGGGCTTCAGTCGGGCCTGTCCCCCTACAGGGGGACTTTCGATGAGAAATAACAGATATTTCAGAAATCGTCAAAAGATAATCGAAAGATAGCCTGGGGACTGTTTTTTGAATATTTGTTGACCTTTTTGGTGTATTTTTCGTGTATGTTTAATTTTTCGTCGAAAATCCCCCTGTAGGGGGACAGGCCCGACATAACGGTGGGCGGCTCATGTGGGGGGGTCGGCGCCCTGGGGCGCCGAAGATCTGCGGAAGGTGCACCTCTCTTCCCTCCAGGCCTCCCAGGTGGGGTCGGAGCAGGCGGGGTCGGAGGACCGCGCCGCATCGCCGATGCACCGCCGGTGCGGCTCGATGCGGAGCCCGATTTTCTTCACGCGGGCGTCGCCGATGCATCCCCGATACGGCGCGATCCTCCGACCCCTATCTACTCGGACCCCATCTGGGAGGCCTCTACTTCCCCCCCTCCAGTTTGCTGCCCTCGCAGCAAGCGGCGCCCGATGAGCGCCGCCTGACGCCCAGCATCGGCCGCCGTCGAGCGATCCGCGCCATCGGGGAGCCGCGGTCTTTCAGGGTCAGAAGGATCCGCGCGGCGTCCAGGAAACAGCGCCCGGGTCGTGGCGGCACGAGCCAGCCGCACTCGCATCCGACCGCCGCACGCCGCACGCCGACGCCGCCGCTGAGAAGTCCGCGCTGACCTGTGAAGGTCTGGGTTGATGCAGCTTGTCGCCTCGGTGGATCGGAGTCCGACCGCATTGAAAACCGAGGTCGTCGCAGTCGCCTTCGCCTTCGCCGACGGCATTGCCGTCGGTGCGATGATGATGCTGATGCGGATGTGGATGCGGCTGTTGCTGCTGCTGCTGCTGCTGATGATGATCATGATGTTGATGCTGATGATTGTGATGCTGCTGATACTGCTGCTGATGATGATGATGATGGCTATGGGAGGATGGTCGTGCTGATGATATCACTGATGATGGTGGCGAGGATGGTGGTGGTTGTGATGACGTTGGTGGTGGCGATGATGATGTGTCGTGGTGGTGACGACTGTCATGGTGGTGACGACGGTGGGGGAATGGGTCACGGCGACGATTCAGATGATGTTGATGATGGTGGTATTGATGATGATGGAGGTGATGCTTCTGACTATGAGTGTGGCGGTGGTGAGGATGGTGGGGGGGGGCACGCGGAGCATGAGGAGCACGAGGAGGGATGAGAAAACGAGTTTTTGACCGCCCCTCCCTGGGCCCCAGGGCGGGCCCCGCGGGCTTCGAGAGAGGCCTCCCGCAGGCCTCCGGGGAGGCCCTTGCAGGGCCGAGAAGGGTGCAGAGGCAGAAGATGGCCGTGATCCTCGGTCTTCGAACCTTCCCGCCGTCGCACGTCGCCGCCGTTGTCGCCGCCGCCGTCGCCGTCGCCGCGAGGAGGGTCGTCGTCGTCGGCACGTCGCCGCCGTTGTCGCCGTCGCCGTCGCCGCCTCAGCGAGGAGGTCGTCGTCGTCGTCGTCGTCGTCGTCCCCGGCCTTGGGGGAAGGTTTGCTATCAGCTATTATGCCCTCGGGTACCTTATCGTGCAAGACGGCGCCCCGTGGCCGGGGCTGTGCGTCGTGGTGCGCAGTTGCTGCTATGCGCTCTCGCGCGCGCCGCTGCCAGCGCTGCTCCCCGTTCTGCGTCGGGGCAGGGCGAGGAGGGAGGGGGGTCCTCCTCCTCCTCCTCCTCCTCCTCCTCCTCGAGGACGTCGAGGGTCGAGGTTGCTGGACATCTCTGGCCCTGTCTGGGTCTGGGAAGGCCCCTGGTCTGGGGGCCTCTGGAGACGTCTGGAGGAGAGGGGTGGAGGGAGGAGGAGGAGGAGGAGGAGGAGGTTGAGGAGGAGGAGGGATCAGGGGGAGGGATGAAGATAGGATGTTGTACGGGGCTCCAGGGGGGGCTGTAGGGATTTTTGGGAGCTTGCACTGCGTTCTGTATAGTTTAAGGGACCCGTCGACTGTTCCACACCTCCATCTCTGCCGCCCTGATACGTCGAGTCTGACGTCCGTTCCACGCTTCCTTCTCTGCCTCCTCTGCGGCTTTCTTCCGAGCCCTCAAATTGGAGCCGGCTGGGTGGCTCATTTGGCCCAGCAGAGAGTGGGGAGCAAATGGCCCCTTCGCCGCCACTGCTGGACGCGGCTCGAAACATTTGTCAGTTTCGACCCTCGGAGGGGACCGATTGGGAGCGGATGTGTGTTCGGCCCCCTTCCTCTTGACAGATTTTCTCGGGGCCCATCCATCCGCAGAGCCCCCGGCCGCTTCCAAACCTCGACCCCGTCGCGCCGTCGGTTGCGCAGCTTCGTGGCCAAATGCCGTCTACGACCACTCAGCAGCACTGACGTAAGTGCAGTAGACTGTTGAATACAGGGGAAACCTTGGAGCACAGTCCAAGAAGGACGTCCGCGATTCAACAACTGGACTGGCGATGGACACGCAGTCATGCCAGTTCCCGTTGGTCCTTCCCGCAAGCCGTGACGTGCCATGCCGAGAAGCATCTCTTCTTCGCCGTTCCCCCGATGTGCAATCCGAAGTGACGCCCGTGCGAAGCCGAGCGGCTGGTCCGAGAATGATGTCAGCGGAAATTGTGGCGGAATTAACGGCTATAGTAGGCACATGATGTTGGACACGTGCGGGGCAATCATGCGACGGGCAGTGTTTATCGGCAAGCTCCTTCCGATAGTCGTGTACACAGGGCGGAATGCGTACACTCTTGGTATATGCAGTATCAAGACATCCTGGCTTCCATCTCACCTCTTGTTCGCATATTACGTATAGTTCGCTCGCACCTTACCCATGCCATCTCTCTCTCTCTGTCGTTGTCTCTCACTCCCTCGATATGTTGTGATACATATATATAGATATAGATACTTGTGTATGTGTGCATGAATGTACGTATGCACGCATGCATGTATGCATGTATGCAAGTATTGCACACATATATATACATATATGTATACATGTAGGTATGCATATACGTATGTATATATATATATATATAGATGTATGAATGAATGTACGGATGTATGCATGTATGTCTATGTTTGTTTGTTTGTTTGTATGTATGTATGTAGGTAGGTAGGTATTTGTATGTGTGCGTATGCATGTAATGTACTGCATTGTAGTGTAATGTAATTGATTGCAATGCGATGCAATTTGATATCATGTGCTGTAATCGAATGGAATATACTGTAACGTATGCATGTGTTTATGTATGTATGTATATATGCATGCATGCATGCATGCATGCATGTATGTATGTATGTATGTACGTATGTATGTATGTATGTGTGTATGATTGAGTTCATGTATGTATGTATGTATGTATGTATGTATATATGTATGTATGTATGTATGTTTGCTTGCATGTATGTATGTATGTATGTATGCATGTATGTATGTATGTAAGTATGTATGCATGCTTGTATATGTGTATAGGCATCTGTGCGTATGTATGTTTGTATGTATGTATGTATGTAAGTGTGTAAGTATGTAAGTATGTAAGTATGTATGTATGTATGTCTGTATGTATGTATGTATGAATGAATGAATGAATGGAATGTAATTGTTTGCATTGTAATGTAATGTAATGTAATGTATTGTAATGTAATGTAATGTAATGCAATGTAATGTAATGTATTGGAATGAAACGTATGTGTGTATGTATGCATGTGTATATGCATGCGTGCATGCATGCATGCATACATGCATGCATGCATGCATGTATGTATGTATGTATGTATGTATGTATGTATGTAGGTATGTATGTAGGTATGCTCATATATATATATATATATATAGGGACACATATTCCCTTTTCTATATTCTACTTGTACAATCTGGGAGGGTTGAAACATCTCCCCGGGACCCCCGGTATCTGCCGCCCCGGGGGCGCCCTGGACGCCACGGCAGAAGGCCCCCAGTGCTTCGAAGCCCTTGCTGGGCCCAGGCGACGAGCCCAAATTGGTCGGGAGGGCGGCCGAGCGGCCCCGCGAGCGCGCCAGGAGGCCCCAGACACCCACCAGACCCCCGAGGACGGCCTAAAGACGATCCCCTAAGAGGCGTTCGAAGCGCACGAATATATGGCCTTCCACTGGTTCTCTGCATGACTTGAGTGATGCTCTGCTCTTCGGCCCGTCGGGCGTCCGAGGCCTCTCGGGAGGCAAGAGCGTCGCCCGAAGACTACCCAAGAGAGCCTCAAGGCAGCCCAAGAGAGCCCCACGACGGCCCAGCGGGGCCCCAGGTCGGGGGCGGAAAAGAGGGGGGTGATGACTAGGGGGGGTGAATATCATGGCGTGGGCCATGATATTTCCCCAGATTTCATGGCGCCTCTCTCTTATTTCATTACGTCCCTGGCCCCCCCCGCTGGGCCGCGCACATGCCGCCGGTCATGATTTGCACCCCCCCCCTCTTGGACACCCCCCTCTTGGCCGCTCCCGACCAGGATGGCCCGAAGAGAGGCCCACGACGGCCCCAAGATGGCCCCAAGATGCCCCCCGAGTCATTCCAAGTCGTGATTTGGTCGTTCAGGGAGACCGTGTGCGGAAGCAGGGTGGCCCGAGGAAGCCCCCAGAGGCCCCTGGCAGGAACCCAGGAGGCCTCCAGAAGGCCCCAAGAAGCCCTTACCAATGTTCGGGAGGCCTCCAAGAGGCTCTCCAAGGAGGAGCCTCCGCAAAAAGAGCTGGGGATGGGGACGAATTCGCAGGGCAGGGCGAGAATGAGGAAGAGGAGCATGAGGGAAGAATAATGAACAATAGTATAATAACGACGATGTCGGAAACGGCAACGCGGAGGTATCGTTCAATGGTTCGTTTTACTTTCCCTCCCTTCCGTCCGCGTGCCAAACATCGATGACCAAAGTGCGAACATGGCGCGAGGCGCCAATACAGTCTTGTATACATGCACCTATATATAGTTTCTTCTATACGCATTTTCGTATCCAAGGTCCCAACATAGACATTCTTATTGGCACCGCCCGCCATTGTGCACGATCGGTCATTGCCAGCATGCGCGCCACACGCGTGTATACATGCATGTATGTATGTATGTATGTGATTATGTATGTGTGTCTGTCTGTCTGTCTGTCTGTCTGTATGTATGTATGTATGTATGTATGTATGTAAGTATGCATGTATGTATGTTGTATGTATGTATGACCGTATGTCTGTATGTTTGTATGTCTGTATGTCTGTATGTCTGTATGTGTGTGTGTGTGTGCCTGTGTGCCTGTCTGTCTGTCTGTCTGTATGTCTGTCTGTCTTTCTGTCTGTCTGTCTGTCTGTCTGTCTGTCTGTCTGTATGTACGTATGTATGTACGTATGTATGTATGTATGTATGTATGTGAATACACAGCTTGAGTGCGTAATATTAGCACCCTCTTCATATTTGTTTTTCTGCCTCCTGCAAACCCGGAGCTTCATAGGGGCTGGCGCCATTCCACCGAGTCACAGGCGCGGAGATTAGTGACGATGTCCTACGTTGTTCAGGTGCCCAGGGAGGGCGAATCGGAAGAGGAGGAGGAGGAGGAGGAGAAACGGCACCGTGCGAAGGAGGATCAGGATGGAGAGAGGATGAGGAGGAGGCGTGAAAAAGGTGACCTGTACGGATGGCATGGGTCTCGAATGCCGAACCTTGGTCCTTCCATATTGCCCCTCGCCAGCGAAACTTCTCGTCTTGCAGCGGCGCGGATTCACCCGCCGCGGTCGCAGGCAGGCCTAACCGAGCATGGAAGCGGGAAGAGAGCGGGCGCGGGGTCTGCCAACGAATCATGATACATGAGGATGCAGACCTCCCAATCGGGGTGCCGTCCTGGGAAACGTGGGTGTTCGGCTGGTCGGCGAACAGGTGGGCTCGGCCTTGGTGCCTCTTTTGGAGTCTCTTGGACACGCCGTCTTGGACACTTTTGAAGTCCGGAGCTCTTTTTGGGGAGGGCGAATCTCTCCTGGGCCTTTCTTGGGCGTCTTGGGCCCCTCTCCGAGGGTCTTTCGGGGCCCCCTTGCGGCCCCACAGTGCTGTCAGGTGTTTTTGTGGGGATTCTCGGTTCGTTCTCGGATCTCCAGGGGCCCTATGAGGTGCTTTCCTGCTCCTCTCTTTCTTCCTCCTCTTCCTCCTCCTCCTCCTCCCCATCCTCCTCCTCCCCCTCCTCCTCCTCCTCCTCCTCCTCCTCCTCCTCCTCCCTATCCTCCTCCTTGTCTTCATCCTCTTTCCTCCTCTTACTCTTCCTCCTGCCTCCCCCTCCTCCTCCTCCTCCTCCTCCTCCTCCTCCTCCTCCTCCTCCTCCCTATCCTCCTCCTTGTCTTCATCCTCTTTCCTCCTCTTACTCTTCCTCCTGTCTCTCGCCCCCTCCCTTTTCCTCCCTTCTCCTCCCTCCCTCCTCCCTCCCCCCGCCCCCTCCTCCCTCCCCCTCCTCGACGAGGAGGCGCCCCCCCCCCCCCCCGGGAGGAGTCAGCCGTCCCCCCTTGAGCTCGAGGAGGGTGGCCCCGTACCCCCGTTGCAGGGGCCCCCATGCACCTGGGGCGTGGGCTGCCCCCCAAGGCTTCCCAGCCTTGTGTACCTCTCTATAGGGTGAATCTTCAAAAATAGTATGAAAAAGTCTCGGGACAATAGTTCGACTAGTCTTGACTCTTCTTCGGTTTCCTTGGGTTGTTTGTAACTATTTCTTTTATTTTTCGCCCCAAATCCGCCTGTAGGAGGACATGCCCGACCTGATCCTGCTCCCAGCGTGCCTGCCGGCTCTCTGCCGCCGCCAGAGCAGGTCCACATCCACCCGCTTCGGAGCCGTGCCTTTGAGGCCTCGAGAGCGGTGGATGTGGGCGTTGGCCCGCCCGCGCTGGCGGGCAGACGTCCACATCCACCGCTCCCCGAGTCCCCCGGGCACGACCCAGCGGCAGTGGACATGGTCATGTTCCGGCGGCGCAGCTCTGCGGCGTGCGTCTTCCTCCACGCCCCCCTCCTCTCAGGAGGGGGAACACGCGCACAGGCACGAGCAAACGTCGAGTCCCAGGAAAGCATGGGGAACCATGGGAAGCGGAGGGGAAGACGAAACTCCAGAAGGTATCGAAAAGTGCGGGGACTCCTAGGACTTGTGTCCATTCACTTGTGTGTCCCTGGCGCCCTCATCCTCGCCCCCTCCTCGCCCCCCCCCTCCTCTCTCCGCGCCGTGCTTCTCCCAGGCTGGCGCATCCTCCTGCCTGCCTGCGCCCCTCTGCTGAGCTCCCGGCCCCACCCCCCCTCCTCCCCCCCTCCTTCCTCCCCCTCCTCCCTCCCCCCTCCCTCCTCCCTCCTCCCCCTCCCCCCCTCCTCTCCTCTCTCCTCCCTCCTCCCCCTCCTCCCCCCTCCTTCCTCCCTCCCTCCTCCCCTCCCTCCTCCCTCCTCCCTCCTCCCTCCTCCCCCCTCCTCTCTCCTCCCTTCTCCCTCCTCCCTCCTCCCGCCCCGAGCTGGTCATGGTCTCCGTGGCGGCCACGCTGGTGCAGATGGACCTCTCGCTCACGCGCGGTGAGCAAGTGACTGCCCAGGACGGCCCCCCAGATCAGGGGCAATGTCAGGGGGGGGTATTGGCTCAGAGGGGGCGATTTTCGCGGAACCGAGCTTCGAGGTTTTTGGGGCAATGTCGTTGGTTCTCAACGATTTTCCAGACTCGGAGTGCGCTCGATCAGTTGCGCCTCGCCGAGATGCGTCTGGGGGTGCCTGGGTCGTCCCGAACGCCCGCTGGAGGCCCGAGTTATGACCCGAAAACCGCCAGGGGTTAGGCTCAGGGGGGGATGCGTCGACTCCCAATCGCCCATTTATCGCCGATAAGGTCCCGATAGCCCCAGCCTCCCCAGGAACGTGCGGATTCGCCACGGGGGGCCTACCAGCGATGTTTCGACGACGTCTCGCCGATTCCAGGTCCATGTTCCCCCCTTTCAGCCTGCCCCCCTCTAACGTCTCCCTCACTAGATTCTAACTAGATACTCCTGGTGGGCGGCTGTTGTGGTGGTCGCGTCGGCGTTGCAGACGGGTGAGCCTTCGTCGCGGTGCCTAGTGGCGCCTGGCGACAGGCCAGGACACCTGGAGGGTTCTGGAGGGGCGTCTTTGCGGGTGGTCGTTTCCGCCTCGCACCCCGCAGAAAACAACCCAGCTCAGGGCACCCTGGGCAACTGACGCCCTTAACCTCGTAGAGGGTCGACGTTTTGTTGTTGTTTGAGGTTTCTGTTTTTTGGCCAGCGTCTGGCTTGATTTAAGCTTGCTTCCAGCATGACGTCGACAAAGCTTCCCTACGGGTTGGCATGTCGGGTGGTCTTCGGCCCAACTCGCCATCGTTCCTGGGTTGTAGGCTTCTTAGGAGCCTCTTGGGGGTCTCTTGATAACTTTTTAGAGGTCTCGTGGGGCCTCTTGCGATGCTTTTTGGGGGCCTCGCGGATCTTCGGTGGCATCTCGAGGGCATCTGGGCTTCTGAGGTGCCTATTGGGGCCTATCAGGGGCCTCTTGCGCCTGCTGGCGGTCCCGGCGGCCATGTTTGGAGAGAGGAGTTCCTGAGGTCCCTTCGTGTTTTTCTCTTGGGGCCCGCTTGCCGCTTGGAGGCTTCTCCAGCCCCTCTTGCGGGCTCTGGGGCCGTCTAGGGGCGATCTTAGGGGGCCCTTGGGCCGTCTGAGACGCTCACAAGGCCGAGAGGTCTTACACGATTTCGTGCCCTCGTGCCGACCAGGAGAGCCCCGCTGGCGGCCCAGTAGACGTCCGAGAACGCCCCATGACGGGCCTTTGGGACAGTGCTGGGACGTGTTGGAGTTCTGGGTTCAGCACCACGCTCCCCAGGTCTCGGGGAAATTGGTGGACCCCCTGAGAGGGCGTGGGAGCGCTCATATGATCCGCAAGGCGGGAGTCCAGCGTCTTAAGCTGAGGAGGAACGGCCCTTCTCCATATGGAGGATACCTCGAGGACTCGAGGACACTCGGCTTAGTTCCTGCAACGCAGTGACGGATCTCGCACGCAGCTTGTACCGAGCGAGCATTTAGTTTGTTTTGCAGCTTGTTTCTCAGCTTAGCTTGCTTTTTGTTGACACTTCGCCTGCCCTGAGCTTGCCTAGAGTTTGTTGTTCCGTTGCTTTTGCCCTGTGTTTGGCGCGCCTGTAGCTTGCTTTTGCATGCCTTTCAGCTTGTGCACAGTTGGGGTCCATGCCAAGAAACACCCTGCTTGCCTCCAGGGTGCCCTGGGTTTCTTGGGTTTCGATGGTTTTGCTATGGAAAGCGTGACGTTCCTACACCAAAAATCGATGGACGTCCTGGGGTCTCAGGGTTGGGTTTCGTGTGGAGGGCTTTTTTGCGGACTGGTCCCCACTGTACTGACTGCATGCTTAGGTTGAATTCCGCCGGCTGCACCTTC